ATTTCAAAACTTTCCAGATGTTTCTGATCTACTGCCCTAAGTGTCCATGTTTCAGCCCCATACAGAGCTATGCTCCAAATGTAGCATTTCACTAGTTTCTTCCTCAAATTTAAGTCCAATTTGCTGGTAAAAAGAATCTTCTTCTTGCTAAATGCAGCTTTTGCCATGGCAATCCTGGATTTAATTTCACTAGTACACCTTCCATCATCTGTTAACAAGCTACCCAAATATTTAAAACATTTCACATTCTCCAGTTGTTTTTGGTCTATCTTTATTGTGACTGGGTTTGGTTGTCTCGAAATTTTCATTACTTTTGTTTTCTCCACATTCATTTCCATGCCATAGCACCTTCCAATTTCAATTAGTCTAATTTTCATATATTTTAAATAAATAACAGAGGTCCATATCATGTACGAGTATTTAAAAGGTAAAGCTATCCCTGCAAAAGGTCGTGGATACACATAGGGTAGTGAGACATCAAGGCTCCCACATTTCTTAGACAATCAGCTCACAGATGGTGGTAAGTTTGTCAGCCTTATGTGCAGGCTACACTTTAGCCCCAGGGCCATACATACCGCCTCCATCTTCAGGGTCGAAGAGTGGGGTCAGCAAACAAGCAAACGGTCCTTTGCTTACTGTTCGGCCATGTAGGTGGAGGCAGTAAGTGCCTGCGAAATATCGGTGAACCTCACCACACCACAGCGTCACATCTCAAGAGACAATTCTTCATAAATCACAATTATTTGCATAAAACACGATTTCCTTAATGACAACTACTTTCATAGCAAAGCGAGACAGAGAGATGCTGCAGGCTCCGGACTCACTGAGTTCGGGCAGGTGTTTCGACAGGCACTCGCCCCTGCAATGCATGCACCCAGTGGACCACGCTGGAATTCAGGACAAAGAGGATCTAAGCCACGAGAATTTGTTGAATCAATGTACTGGAGCGTGTAGAGCCGTTACTATGCAACGACCGCGAGATAAGCAAATATACAATCGCAGACAAACAGGTTCCCGCTGCAACAGTGGCGGTGCTACTGGAAACAGTGATTTCTGTGTGGTCAGTGCCGAGGCTATATATTTAGGACTAACGGGGCAAGTTATTCAGGGACATTGCAATGTATGAGGCTAACGGACCACGTGACCCTTACTTTCAACAGTAATATGTCTACGGCTGCGGTATTCCTGGACATCGAAAAAGCCTTTGATACCACATGGCACTCTGGCTTGCTAAATACGAGTAAGTCATCTAAATTGGAATTTTAGACAAATTTGATCAAGCTCATTAGCTCCTTTCTTCCACAACGCAAATTCAGGGTTTCGGTTGAAGGCGAAATGTCTACGCCATGGGAAATGCCAGCAGGGGTGCCTCAAGGTTTTGTCCTGCCCCCTACTCTTTACAATATATACATAAATGTGACCCCCAAACACATGGCGTTCATCTAGCCCTCTTTGCAGAGGACACCTCTCTGTATGCGACAGATCGCAAAGAGGATTTTGTGGTTAGAAAACTCCAGCGCGGTCTCAGCTCAATGGAGACCTGGTGTGAGCGCTGGAATATCAAAATTAATGAAGACAAGACTCAGGGGATCTACTTCACTCGCAGTCGTCGGCCGCCTGTCTCATCTTAGACTGAATGGACGATATATTCCATTTCTAAACAGTGTAAAATATGAAGAAAGCAGTCTTCTGGGATTTGGCACCCTGTATATGTTGTTAACCGACGTTTCGGAGGAACGTATCGCCTCCATCATACGTTCCTCCGAAACGTCGGTTAACACCACACATACACGGTGCCAAATCCCAGAAGACTACTTTCTTCATAGTCACCGCCGTGAAAACCTCAAATCTCACACAGTGTAAAATATCTCGGTGCAATTGTACATAGAAATGATCGAAGCCAAGGCCTTCAGAACGTTTATTAGATTGTATTCCCTATTCAAAAGTAAGTGATTAAGCAATAACATTTAATTGACCCTCCACAAAGCTCTCATTAGGAGCAAAATGGCTTATGCTTGCCCTGCCTGGGAGTTTGCAGCAGACAACCATCTAACGAAATTGCAGCGCCCTCAAAACAAAGTTTTCCGCACCATTGAAAATTTTCCAAAGCGCGCAGCGGCTCGCGATTTACACATGGCTTTCACACTTCCGTACGATTATATATCAAAACTGTGCAGGCAACAAGCGGAAGTCATACAAAATCATGCAAATGCAAATATTCGCAACACTGGACAAGGCGAACCCCGACGCAGGAAATATAAGAGGCTTAAACTCGGTGGCGGTCAGCACACAGCCGTTCAAGTGACTCGACTGCTGTTGTAGCAGGAGCCTCTAAAAATAGGGCATAATCTGCTGTACTGAACCTGGACTGACAGAGGCCCTGCATATATTTTATATACAGTTATTAGCATATTTAACATGTAAAATGTAAATTGCACATACTGGCAACAGACTTATTACTGCTCACTGTTACTCTGGCAAGCGACAAACCCGTCCTCTCGTCAGAGAGAGCGCCCCACATCAACAAACGTACAGCTGTCTGACAGTAATAAAGATCTGGTCTTAAGCCCCAGATGGGTGCCTTATTCCAAGACAGACTGGCCGCCTGACCGTCGGTCACAACACAACTTTGACTTTGAAGTTATTCAGTTGTGAGTCAGCCTCCAACCAGTTGGGCCGTTAGCATGCAAGCAGAATAATTTCCACTGTTAGAAGCCGTTACCAGGCAACTACTAGTGAAGACACTGCGCGCTGGAAAAGACTTAGCGTGTGCTCTAGTGATTCGAAAAGTGTGAAAATTAGCGATACAGTTATAGTTATTTGTAGCTACGCCCTGTAAGGGGTCAGTAAATCCAATATCCCATTTAAACCCCCGTCAACAGTCATACTCATAAACGTGGCAATATCAAGGTAACGACACTGAAATTCCTGCGATGAAAACAAGTTAGGAATCGTAGGCGTAGCGTAAAAAGTCTGACGCGTCCAGTGTCTCAGTGGCTCTGCATTTGCAATTCGCGAATGCTGAAGTAACGTGAAACGCGAGAGGCGGACGAACCTGTAATATAATCATGAGATTTGAAGAGTCTTCCGGACTGTGACGCAGTGTAGTTTAGTAGACAAGTACCAACGTTTCGAAGTAACTTGCTGCCTCCATCTTCAGAATATAACAACTACAAAATAATGTTTGATCAAAATTCGTCCACCTGTTCTCACACTGAGCTGACCGAGCATAACTGCAAAACTTGCGAAAAAAGTGTACTGAGCATAAAATGGGTTTTACAAGTATTTTTCCCTATAATTTCTGCGCGGAACACTTCTTGCCACAGTGAATGCTTGGCGAGTGCCACTTGAGAAGCGCGCAAAAACTCGCGTACGTCTCGCTGTCGTCGTGGACTGTGTCCGACACAACCCCCAATACCAAATTTGTAAGAAATCCGTTTTGAAACTGTCGAGTTGTACGCAGCATGTCAGACAAAGACAGCAGCCGTGCTGAGAGGTGCCTCTTTTTTAACTTGTCCTTGCTAACGCAACAAACAGAAACGTAATGTTCGTGTGCTACGTTTGGGAACGCCTGGCCATTTTTTTCTTTTTGCTATAATTTGCTCATGTGTACAGGAAAAAAATATTCAAAAATGCCACTAGCGGGCAGCACTGTCAGCAAATAGAGGCCAATGTCGTTTGAAGTAGCATAATATACTGACATAAAGAACATAGCGACTTACTTACTTTACTCAGCTAATTTACGTTAAAATAGGAGCACGTGACCTGCCATTTTAGTCACTACGTTGTTTGAATTACAGACCGGAGAATCATGTTTAGTTATGAACATGTACATAATGATATGTGACTAGCGATTATCATGCAAATGCTGTGTACGAGGTCAGTAAGATAATTTTACAGGTAGTCCATGTCTGGAAATCGTATTGAAACCTTTCTTCTGTCAGAATACCTGAGGAACCCCCCCCCCACACACACACACACACCAAAGCGTATTTAGTCACCTACGTATTCTTTTTTTTTTTGCTAGTGGGGTGGGACTAAGTCCCTTGTATTACGGGCACTTCTGGCCTATTGTACCAGCCCCAGATGATAGGTGAGGGTGATTGTGGAGCAATTGGTGGAATGAAGATTGGCAGGGGAAACCGAAGTACTCGGAGAAAACCTGCCCCAGCGCCACTTTGTCCACCACAAATCCCAATTGACCAGACCCGGGCCGCCGCCATGGGAAACCAGCGACTAACCGCTTGAGCTATGGTGCGGCCAGTCACCTACGTAAGTCGCGCCTTGAAATTAGAACAAAATGAATTAAACTCGAATAATTCGAATCATCATGCCCGTGTAACAGAAGTGATATGAGCTTGCTTATATCGAGTTTCACAATCTCGGAAAGCACTCCTACACGAACGAGAATTAAGGCCCTTCTTCGAAAGAAAATCTGTCAAGCAAATGACAACAGTGTGTGTAAATAGTTTCACGTGGCCTTTGCACGAATTAAATGAAACCAAAATCAAGATGACCCTACGGCGTCTAGTGCAGGTCCGTCATAACGAGTTTCATTCAAATAGATCCAGCAGTGCGTACACTCAGGAACTTCGTCAAGTCCTCGATGACTGAAAAAAAGCCTTCATAATAGTCACTTGAATTTTTCAAACTTGTCTACCCTACAAGGGTATCAGCAAAAGCTATGTTTAATTTCCTTCTTACCATCAGCACAGCCATATTGTTGCAGACATTCAAAAGAAAATAAAGCATACACTTTAATGACACCCTTTATATACAAAACACAAAAGGATTCAGAAACCTAAGGTTCATCTACCCTGTTCTCACTATTAAGTGGCGTGAACAAAATTTTGGAAGAACGATCGATAGATTTCCAAATCTATATTACGGAAATTTATTATTATCCCAACAACGCTTTGCTGATCTGCAAGTCCGCTACGTCCGTTACTTGGGAGTTGTTCTACGCCCCCTTATTGTGCCCCCACCCAAGACAGCTTCCGCGTGTGCAGTTGTTTAATGAGTTTCCTCTAACTACTGCGGAACACTCTCATTTCCCTGAAACGTCACTTTTAACTTCACCTCTGCACTGTTCCAAAATTGGAATATCTTCAGAATATGCCACCAAAATTGCCTCATGACATTCTTGCTCTAAATCATATTGACAACCACAATAATTGGTGAAACTGTTCGTACAGCACTAAATTCTTACCCAAAACACTAACGCAACGCAATGAACACTAAACTGTAATTGTTGCGGCATTTAAGAGCAAGAACACCATAAGTGCACCTGTCGCTGTAGTCTTAAAATTGAACGAAAAACTTCCAACTGTTAGCAAACTTGTCTTGGTTAATGTTTTGATGCTACATTCTGCTGCAGTGACCAGCTGATGGGAAACTGGGATTAGAATTACAAAGAACGCGATGTTACCTCAAGAGATCTGTCAGCTGGGATTCAAGCGCGTTCTTCGCAGCTGCACTCAAAATACAGACGTTACTCAGATCACCGCTTTGTGCGAAGTGAAAATGACTTACATTGTGCAACCGTGAAGTATGTGTGCTGCAACGTGATGTTGATCGTATGATGTAATAACAGTCAGTTATTTGACGGCGTTCACTATTGGAATGATCACGAAATAGCCTTACTCGACGTAATGTTATAACTAAACACGGGTAAAATTGATGACTAACCTCATTCCGAAACTGTACCAACTGTACTTTATTCAACAGAACACTGCATTCGTCGATGAAGTCCCACTTATCTTACGTCAGTAAAAAACGCGGATGGAATACCGCTTGACGGAATTATATATATATTTCAGTTCAGTTACTAATGTGGCTAGAACAGACACGTAAGGAAATTATAACTTACTTTAACAACATTGCAGTCACGGAACAGATATCTCCGCAATGAGGAAACAGCTTAGTACTGAAGTGATATTAATTGCACTCGTGGACTAATGAAACATCACAACCGCACAGAATATAAATAACACCAAGTCTTTGTTCTTATTGATGCACTGCAGTTAATAACTTACAATTGTCATGCAAAAGACTCCATTTCAGGCACGGCGGGGAATTATACTTCCTGCCGCGAACATATTTGTACTCGGAAATCACAAATACTGCCTCTGGTGGGACAGATAGTAAACAGGCGCCAAGCTACGTGAATGTTAATTCAGACACAGACTGACCTCTTGTGTGCACATTCCTGAACTATTTATAAATACGAAAATTCAAAACTTATTTCAAATCCACAGTGGACTTTATCGAAATTTGTTTTGAAGCATGGTACATAACAAGTTATGAAATGTACACACAGCAAAACAATTTTGGAAGATTCGCCCCCTTTTTGTATATTATTATTTCGAAAACTTACAGGTGTACTGAACATAAAATGTTCCATCTTTTTGTACAACTCTCGTTTAAAACATCACTCTCCGTAAAATATTTTGTAATGCTGCACACAGAAAAGCACGTAGGTCGTCATGTACTGTCCGTTATTTTTGCCAGATTTTAACCAAAATTTGACATAAAGTCAACATGGAGAACAGATCACTATTAGCAGTATGTAATCAGAAAATGTTAATGTCACTTTAACATTGGCCAAGACCAAATCTATTTCACTTCATGAATGCTACTTTTGCTTTTCATTCTACTGATTATTTATGTCACAGCCTTTGGTGTCATCTAGGGTATACCAGAAAATATACACACAAGCTTAAGGAGGCCACTTTCCACCTCAGTTTAAAATTACAAAGAAATCATTACCTGGCACATCATTTTGATACCCAGAGTACATAAGTTATATATTTTTAAAAATTCATTAAATACTTGACCATCACCACATAACCTTCAAGTTTATCCAATATGTATAAAAATGTCAATTTTTCTGTCTCCTGCTGCCTACAGCAAATGTAACAGAGAAACCCCAAACATGCGAAATTCACTCCATATTCTTGCAAATATGTGGCCACAGCTGAAAAGCAATGTGCAAGTACTGTGGTACAGTTTTTGGGTGCAATTTGAGTACTCATTCTCAATATTTTAGTTACACAAGCAAACTATAATGTAGGCTGTGCCACAGCTCATGCAGTTGCACTCCAGCACCTCACTGTGGACATTCAAGTTGGGTCAAAGTATTATACACATGGGATTTATGGCAGACAAAGTAGCACTGGGGGAGGGGGGGAGTTCTCTCCAAACACTTCAGTTCTCTCCTGCCAATTGTCATTCCAACAGTGCTCCACACTCACATCACCAGGGGTTGATACAATAGTCCCATCTGGGGCCACAGTACCAAGGAATTTGGTCCAACCAAACTCCTGTGGCTTTAATAAGAAAGAAAAAACTTCAGTTTCTCAATGTGAGTGTTATTTCTTCTTTAGTGTTTTGAATGAATGAATGCATGAAGGGTGGGCCCTTCTGGCCGTTGCATTGCGACCTTCAATGATCAATGGATCATTGCTACCTCTTTTTGAACCCTTTATCAATCCTCGCTTTGAATAAAATGTAGGACTTCATTTATGGGGGCATCATAATAGTCACTTGGTTATATAAAGAACTGGCCCAAGTGACAAAATCTTAAATAAGATGTAGCCTCACAATCACATAGGATGTGTGTGGCTGATTCATGGTTTCTAGGCACTGTTTGAAAGTGGGGTTATCTGTTAGTCCCAATTTGAAAAGGTGTCCTCTCAGGTGACAGTGTCCCCTAAATAGCCTTACCACCAATCTTAACTGGTTTCTATTTGACTTTAACAGATCCTTTGTTCTTCTGGCCTTGGGACTAGTATAAGATCCTTTGCCTCTTTGGGTCCAGTTGAGGATTCCCAATGTTTTTGCAATTTCTGTTTGTCCAGTCCCTGACCACTTTCTGGGTAACTCCAACTGAGATGCCACAAGATGGTTCGGGTACTGTTCTTGCCAACTGACCTGCCATTTCATTAACAACTATCCCTTCATGACCTTGCACCCATATCAGATGAACTCTGTTATGTTTGGCCAGTTGTATGACAGTCTTCAGAATTTTAGTTATTATATACTGTGATACTACCGATGAGGAAAAAACAATTACCCATCCCAAGTGAAGGCTGGACATGTTTGCATGCAAGCACATAAAGAATTACTGAACTTCATAATCATCATGGTTTATAAAAAATGTAAAGGATATATAAAATTACATAATTTACATATATATCACATCATAAAATATATTCCAACTTGCAACAGATTCTTAAATTTTATATCATTCATAACCATCTCTCTCTCTCTCAACAGAACCCAAAGGTTCAACAATGCTAATATCAAAGTCCATCACCGGACATGATCCTGAACCCGTTTCATGCACCTCTCATTACCACAGTCTACGTACTTAAGATACATCTTAATGTTATCTTCTGATCTCCTTGTTGGTCTCCCAAGAGGGCATTCTTCGATAGATTTCTTTATAAAAGTTCTGTATGTAATGAACTCATAATACTATTACTGATAGCAGAGTTCATAAAGTAATTGCCTAGACACACAAAAAACCGTGTCTCAGTTCTGAATGATTTATTTGGCACTATTTCCAGATGAGCTCTGAGGTGCACCAAGTCAATGGATACTGGGTCTCCTTCCCCACTATTTTCATGCAGCTTGTGACAGGGTTCAGAATGCATGGAAATGTACCTCCATACCCACTAGACTTTCAAAGTGCAATCTCTCTCAGTATTGCCACTGCTGCAGCACTAAGTAGACCAGATACTGGAACTGTTACCAACCATGCAGCAATAATATTCCTGTGGGAATAAATAATTTCATTAATCAAATTTCTGTAACATAGTGCGATTATTTCTACTGACTGCTCACATGATCACAATAATAAACCCAACAATTCACACCTAATTACTTATGTTTCATTTATCTTAGTTATTCGTAGGTAATGGGAATCATTACAGTAAATTTCTATCCACTTCTCAAGCTTTCAGTCAAGTCAAAATGGAGTTACCCATCTGACATTTCAGAGACTGGCTCCATCCATCTCCATTATCATGCGTTCACATGATTAGTGTTCCAGCTGCACATCACAATACTGTAACACTCAGCCAATTGAACTGCGCACATGCACCATTACAGTAGTTCATCACATGACCAGCTGGACTGTGCACATGTACCATTACAACAAAAAAACACAGGGCTGACGTAGTTTAATTAAATATTTTAATTACTACGCCGCTGGAGGCACATGGTAGCATAGTTGGTTGAGGCACCATGCTACAAACTGGAAGGTTCCTGGTGATGTCACTGAATTTTTCAGTTTACCTGATACTTCCAGCCGCACTATGGCCCTGGGGCTGACTCGGCCTCTAACAGAAATGACTACCAGGAATCTTCCTGGGGAGTAGAGGGCGGCCGGTGCATAAAGCTGACAACCTCCCCTCCCTCTGAGCTGACTGTCTAGAAAATGTGGAAGGCGCCAACTTCTCACAACCCTTTGGGTCTCCATGGCTTGTTACAGGGATATAGCTTTACCTTTTTTATTGCAGCAGTCCTACTTTTAGTCTGAAGAGTGCCTGCAATTGAGCCTAAGATATTTAATTGAACTAGAATAGAAACAAAACTTGCCTGAAGAGTTTCCAGTCAACACCTTTCTTCGTAGAATTGGCCCAGCCCACAAACACAACGGATCCAACCAAGCAGTGTGTTGTGCTGACGGGAAGACCAATTTTTGATGCCAACAAGACTGTGAAAGCAGCGCCTAGCTCTATTGTGAATCCTCTGGAATAGAAAGTGAAACAACTAAATAATGTCTCAGACACAAGCAAGAATTCAGAAGCATGCTGTATTATTATATTGTGGTGTATGTGATGAACGTGTTGCCAGGCAACAGCTCTGTAAACATGATACATGCCCACAACAGTAGAGCATGCTGTGTTTTCCGTGTGTCTGGCAGTTGGCGTAGGAGCACTGACATTGCATATCAACAGTAGGTTGCCATCATGTGACTTATGTTTCCTGCATGTCCATCAGCTGCACATGTGCAGTGATGTCACATAGCAACAGTGGGTTAGGGTCATGTGATATGTGTTTAGTGTTGGTCAATTTCCGTCCCTTGGTTATATAAATGACTAGAATTCCTGAACTGGCAGAGAGAAATACTTTAATTATGTGTAATACTTGGAGTGATTTGAAGTGACACTTTCTGTGAGAAGATCGTTGCTATGAGACAACTAGTGGAAGACGGAGAATCCTAGCGCGTGTGCAACGGTGAACTGGAAAGTGTGTAATTCAGCAGTAGCGCTGTAATTGCCTGTATTTAAGTGTAATTAAGAGAGAGTGTGTAACTGAAGTGCTAGTAAAACCAATCATCCGAACTAGAACTTGTCCTCATCACGCATTCCGCCCAACATGTGACAATATATTCAGCTGACACTGGGCACATACTTTAGTAAAGCTGATGAGACTTTATAGGCCTGTATTAAAATAATTAGATTGGACTTCAACTTCAGATTACGCATAAATTTCAAAATATGACATGAAATGCGTCTATAAAACAGAAGACGTTTTGCCACAAACAAAAGAAATGAAAAGTGCAGGTAACAGTTGGCCTTGCATATCCATATGGGTACTCACGTGGAAGATGTGATTGTTGTGAGGTCCTCCCCTATGGTCTTCATGACTCTTTTGCCCCATATCCACAGTCCAACAGAGATACCAACACCTCCATATAACAGAATGTACAAGGGTGTCTCTGATTTCTGGTGCACAGAACCTTCTGTGTATATCATCCATATTGCTATCACTGGACCAATGGCGTTGCTGGGAAAACAAGAACCACTAGAGTCAGTAAGAGCTGTAGTCCAGTCTTGAAATCTTCAAATTTCAAATGCATCTAAAGACTCGAGAACACGCAGTGCTACAAGAACCTCAAACCCCGTACCTCACATCATTTCCACCATGAACAAATGAGGCAAACGTGGCAGTAAGGGTCTGCAAGAAGGAGAAGAGCTTGAGTATCTTAGCCTGGTCCTCTTCAACTTGGTTCTTCTCCTGGGAATCCTTCTTCTCCTCTAAGGATGGCTCTTCTGTTTTGTCCTGGATGGAGAGACCTGTAACGTAACACAGCACTCAAACCAGCAATGAATATTTCTGTATTCACTTCAGTATTAACATAGTTCAGCAATAACTGGTGAACGTTAGGTCGCCAACAATGCACAGTAATGAGATTTTAGAGTAATGTCGACTTTACAAAGAGCCAGGTACTTACAGTAAGCTGGGTTGTCCTTCCCAAGTGAAGACTCATGTCCTGGGGGTGCAGGCTCCTGTAGAACAGACAGATATATTGTATTTCTTTAGTTAATGCTATCACTGTAAAGCATAGGTAACAACATGTTGGCTCTCCACAAACTCAGGGGATAATTATGACAGTAAACATAATAAATTAGGCAGATATCCATACTAACCTCACTGGTATTGGGTGGCGTAAGAACTATCTCACTTGCCAGAACTGTGACATCAGAATTTCCATTGGTCCATGGCAGTGTCTGCTTGTATGTGTCTGTGCGGACCATATCAGTCTTTACGCCACTCGTCACCTTTGGCGTTGATCCCACTTCTGCAAATTATATTTTGTAATGTTGCTGTACAGATGGCAATATTAGTTGCAATGGCCACATCCCTGTTTCAGGAACACAGAACTCCTGACCAGCTCACACTAAGCACATCAAGGTCATTAAATGCTTCCTATCTTAATTTATTTAATGACTGTTTCTTGAGAGCTTCCTGAAGATGGAGGCAGTGAATTCCTTGAACCATTTTGGTACACTAAGTGGCATCACATTGTAGGAACTGATACTCTTGAAACAAAACTAGCTTATGAACTCTGTGATGCCAGTGATGAATGGTCTTTAGACATGAAAAAATGTTGGGGTTTTTACAATACTGCAATGGACCCCATTTTATGTTCCTCAGTTAAAGGTTTTCCCTCAATCAACATTCAAGTTCAATCATCGCCAGTCAATAATCTCAGCATTAAATTCCCTCCATTAAGAGCTTCCTCACTTTACAGTTAAAAGTCAATGCTCCCCAAACACGCCTTAAGTAGACTTCACTGTAAATATCATGGACGTTGTATTTCGTGGTTATTCGATAACACAGCGACAGCAATATAATGGGATGACTAAGAATGGCAGAACAGGTGCTTCATCAGATTATAGCCCTCGCTCGCAGGTTTAAGCCTTAAGCAAAACACTGGAACATGAATGTCCCGGGTTTGTTTGATACCAGCTCTGCCAACTGTCGACTGAAGAAGGAAACAGAAACACTGCGGCTTTAAAAAAAGTGGGATGAAGGCCAATGTCCACGATATCAGCGAGCAATACTGAAACTTACAGGCTGACCAAACTTGCCTTCAATCTTTTTCCTCATGAATGGTACAAGAAAAAACCATACAGCCACCATGGTAAGTGCTCCAATGCCAAAGCTGAGTACAAGTACACCCCACAGTGGAATTCTATTGAAATAGAGAACTGTAAAAAAGCAAGAAATTCACATGTGTGAGAATATAAAATAATTACCATTACATGGTTTAGTATGTCAGGTATTGTAAGCAGGCTATTGTCAACTTGGTAATGAATATGTCAATTCCATAAGAAGCATGGAATTTGATTAGGTGAATGACTTATTGGCTTTCCAACATGGACTCTATTCCATGGAGTTTGGTATTTGTTTGTTAACCTCATATACAGTAACTGTGGTTCTATATGCATGTGAAACTTTGTCTCTGACATTAAGGGAGGAACATAGACTGAGGGTGTTTGAAAACAGGGTGCTGAGAATATTTGGACCGAAGAGGGATTGACAGGAGGTTGGAGAAAACTGAATGAGGAGCTTCACAACTTGTACTCTTCTCCAAGTGTAATTAGAATGATCAAGTCAAGGACGATCAGATGACCAGAGCATGTAGCACAATTGGAGAGGAGGAGGAATGCATATAGGATACTGGTGCGAAAGACAGAAGGAACGAAACAACTGGGATGACTAAGACATAGGTGGGTGGATGATATTAAAAAGGATCTCAGGCAGAAATGGACTGGATTAATCTGGCTCAGAATAGGATCCAGGAAAGGGCTCTTGTGAATATGGTACAGAACCTCAGGGTTCCATAAAATGTTGAAAAGTTCTTGAACAGCTCCACAACTGGCAGCTTCTCAAAAAGGGCTCAGTAACATGAAGTTAGTTAGTTAGTTAGATAGTTAGTTAGTTAGCTCATATATGGTAAAGTCACTGTCAAAATTCCATGCCTACTAGAAGAAAGAAAAGTCAAGGGATCTCACATTCTGTGATGCCATAAACCTCTACAAAGTAATATACAAATTTACATGACCTCCACCCCCCACCCCCCCACACATACACAAAATTAACCATTTTAAGATTACAGACATGTGAAGTGTGACATCATATTGTTTTGTAGCAAGGCACCAATGTTGCAGAGGAAGTTCCAGCCTCCATTTCCATATATTCTGAAGATGGAGGCAGCAGGTTCCTGCAAATCACCGGTCTCTCCTTCTCTCTCTCTCTCTCTCTCCCCCC